AGACGGGCGAAACGTTAGGAAGAACAACCTTTGGAACACGGCCAAAGAGCCCAAAAAACCAAGAACAACCATTAGATCCCGGCCGTGAAAGCCTTTGCGAATAACTAAAGATTCTTAGCACTAGGCAGACATGTTAATCTTTGCCTTTGGGTTAATATTTTCAGTTGAATACTTCTACCTGAATTTTACAGTGTGTAGAAAGTTGCAATGTGTAGGCCATCTTTAGTAATCACGATTGGCCAAAGAGCATACGAACAGTTGGCTCTGCTCTCAGCAATCAGACTGAACTCATAAAATGAAATGAATTTCCATTAACTTACAGAAAGTGTTGAAATAAAATAACAGCACAGAGGGTGAAATGTGAACCATTCTGCTGTTTTTGAACATTTTAATACTTTCTAGTCATGAATGCTTGAACTGTTCAAAAACATATTTTAAGTTTGTAATATTAAAACAAATTCTTTTCTCTGGGGACAGGAGTCAAGAGGGCAGTGGGTGCAGCTTTCTAAGCCCCGAAAGCCAGCAGTGGGCGCAGAGCGGCTTTCAGCTTGCCCAGCCGGCAGCGGGCACGGAAAGGGGGGAGAATTCAAAGCAGCCCCCCGCTGCCCTCTTGTCTCCTGTCCACAGGAGGCAGAGGGCACTGGGAACAGGACACAAGATGGCAGCAGGGGCTGCTTTGAATTTCCCGCCCTTTCCCCCTGCCTTTTGTAGGTCGAAGCTCCGGCCGTAAGTCGAATTAAAATTTTGCGGCCAGAGCGTTTCATACCTTGAAATTTCCATAAATAGGGACCTTCATAAGTCAAGGGTCCACTGTACTTAAATTGTCAAAAATTAAATTATTTACTTAAAACTGTGATTTAAATCAAATCTACCCTGCATTAAATATGAGGTTAGAATTATATTATGAAAAATCTATTTTAGTGTGTTTCCAGGACTTGAAAAAGGTTGGGAAACACTCTTCTAGATCAAAGGGGCCAACACTAGGCTTAGCAATCTCATTGACTTCATATGAGGATGGAAATGCAGCTGCAGAGATCAGTGCCTATTGCCTTTAAATATCTAGAAGTGTAACAAAAAACTGTAAGAGATCACTGTATAATCCTTCCAATACCCAATATGTACACAGACACAAGAATTCTGCTGCATAGCTAAGCCAGCAGAAGGGAAACTGTAGAACTCACAGAGCTAAGTTGCTACTAATTAATGTTTACTCCCCTTAGATTTCTCATTGCATGTCAGTCAAGTGGTTGGGACACAACCAGAAATCCAAGGAGGGACTTATTTTTTTTTTTCACAGCAGTTTGTCACTGTGAGATTTGCCATTTCCTCTTCTGCCTGCATAACCTTAAAATAGGATTTTGGCTAGAATTAGATTGCAGTCACTTCTCCCAGACTTACTGTAGAATCACTGCTGTTGCTGGTTGCACTGAAGGGGTCAGTATTTCCAAAAGGATCTGCAGAAGACTGCTTGAAAAAGCAGTCAGCAGCAAAGGGATCTGAGCCTTTGAAAGGATCACTACCAAAAGGATCTTTAAAAAACAATCAATCAAAGCAAGATCACATTACTTTCTAGCTGGAAATATATCCTACAGAAACTGTAAAATATACATAGCCACTACGTGATATAAATATAAATAGCCATTTAAGTGATTCCTATCAATTTTAACACTCCAGAAGTTAATTTCACACATATTTTCCCACAGTCCAGACATTTTTACATATCCCCCAAATCCCCATTGAGACATTCACTGTTCACCTGTGACTGGTAGCTGAAATATAAAATACAGTATATGGCTTAACACATCCTTTGCTTATGCATCGACATATCTGATGAGTGATTTGGCTATATTCATCTGCCAAAAATAACTGGCTACAGCTTCTACAGTCATTTTGCACAGATATGCTTACAAGTTATTATCACTACCTGAATCAAATACCATGTTTGTGTGTGAGCTCCCACTAAAAACCCATGTCTGCTTGCAAAAGCGTAGATAAAAATCAGCTTTTAAAAAACCCACAGATTTTTAATATTTAAATTGGATTGTTATTTTTTGTTTTTATCTGGAAAGTCCTGTGCAATGATAGTTTTAAGTTAAAATGTGTTACAGCTCAAAGATCTCATTTTGAAAAAAGGATTATAAATTGTAATTCTAAATTACGTGATAATACATTCACATAATCATTTCTAAAATATTTCTGTAAGCAGGGTTTGACATTTCTTGTATTAGGGTCTCAATTTTATGAGGTTTCTGTGCAGATTATAGAGATCAACCTTTCTGTTTCCCCTAGTATTGAGTCTAGCAGATACCATCAGAAAAATCTGAAATTCTTAAACTTGATCTGTGTCTCCAAAGATTAACATCAATAAATGAAGATGAAGGATAGCAAATTTGTTAAGTCCTGTTTTCCATCTGTAACTGAAGTTATTCCTAAGAAGTAGTTGGGTTATTCTGCCTTAACATGCTTACATGTTAAAGCCCTAAACGGTTTAGGGCCTCGATACCTGGTAGAACGCCTACTCCCACCAAGATCTACCCGTGTCACCTGCGCAAGCCAGGAGGTGAGGCTGAGGAGCCTAATGTCGAGGGAGGCCCGAAAAGAAAAGACAAGAAATCGGGCCTTCTCGGTGGTGGCTCCTCACCTCTGGAATAACCTCCCTCCTGACATTCGCGCAGCTCCCTCGCTGGGAATTTTCAAAAAACCAACTAAAAACATTGATGTTTCGGCAGGCCTTCCCCCTTGTCAGTTCCTGACCTCCCTTTTCCTTCTTCTCCCAGTGTTTGTCCCATCTTGCTGAAAGTCTTCCTTATGTAATTGTTTTTAATCATATTGTTGTTGCTTATGCTGCTGTAAGCCGCCTAGAGTAGTCTTAATTGATTAGATAGGCGGGATATAAATAAAATAAATAAATAAAATAAATACATAATTAAAGGAGAAAAAAAGGAAAAAATTGTGAAAATTCAAAAACTAATGCATTTATTTCAGCATGAGCTTTTTTCATGAAAATTCACAGAAACATATTCTTAACTCTTTGACATTTTTAGTCTTCAACATGTTTGTTTGCATTTCCCGCTCTAATTTTGTCAATATGTCATTATTCCAGAAGCTTCTCCCCCCCCCCTCATTATATGACATGGTAACATTCTTTTTTTTCCCATCCTGACATGACATAATAGTTCTCAGAAGCCTTATCAAAATCTCAAAGACTGCTTTCAATATTTTCTTATTGGAAATTATCCTTATTCATTTACAGTAATGCTCTAACTATTGGCCCTATGAAACTCTGTGTAAACAAACTCAAGCCCTCCTTACTCCTCTCTCTGAAATGCACACTTTCAAACAAATAGAGGATTGCTGGAGGCAAAAACAATCCAAACAAGAAGGTTGTGGGAAAAATGCATTGTAAAAATATATATTAAGTGAAAGCAAGAAAAGTACACTTTGTCATGAGGGGAAAATTACATAATTAAATTGATTTACAGAAATGTATATATATGGACAGTGACATGGATATAAAGTTTTTTAAATGACTGAGGAATGCAGAGGAATCGGAGAAAGAAAAACACCACTGTCAAACTAATACTCCTTGAGAGAAAATGATGGAATATTAAGAAGATTTAAAAGCAGGGAGAATAACAAGAATTACACTATTCATTACTAAAATAAATAAAAATATATTAAGAAGATTTAAAAGCAGGGAGAATAACAAGAATTACGCTATTCATTACTAAAATAAAAATAAATAAAAATAAATAAATAAACAAGAAAGAAATGGGGGGGGGGTTATTAAAAGGTCCTGAGACAGGCAATAATAATGCTCTATAATATTATATTTAGTAGTTCTGAGGAAAAAAAGGAAAACCCATGTCACTGCATCAATTTTTAGTCACCTTTGAAAAGCCTGAAATGCACTGAATGATTACTGGATTATGATTTTCCTAAAATATTTCCACATTACTTTTGGGATACTCTGTTCTGTTTCCCTAAAATTATATGATTTGGTAGGTCTACATACATTACAAAACCATTCATTATCTGCTGGAAAAAATGTAGACCTGAACACCAAAATTGGCTACTCCTTGTCCTAAATGAAAGTTTGACAATATTGCATTTCTCCTTCTACAGAAATTCTCAGGGAGCACTCTTTGGCTACTAAACATAACAGTTATCTTGTTTCTGAATTACTGAAAGAAAAATGAGCAAGGACTGTAATACTCACCAATCTTCCCGAAAGGATCATCCTTGAAAGGATCACCTATTTTAAAGAGTTAAACATTGCATATAAAATGTCTTTCATCACTTATAGACTCTCTCTTTCAAAACACTAAAGATTTGTTTATCAGTAAACAGTGCTAGTGGTTCTGTGCTATCCTGCCATGCGGAACTACATATACGCAAGTCAACCACAAAAGTTTTCAGAACTCCTTGAGAGATTGTCCACACTATGGTGTTGTCCACAGACATTTTGTGGTTGCTCTAGTATTTCTGGTATTTTTTAGGTTTCAGGTTTGAACAGATTGTCCTGGTATTTTCATCCACACACAGGGAGGGTATTTGTTACTAGATTTACTGGGAAATACTGGGTCATCCTGGTACTGCTTTGACTAACGCACATTCAGAATTGTTCCCTGAGATCTCATTCCCAACACAGATTATGCTCCTCTTTTGACTGACTTCCACTCTCTCCACCCACTTCTCTCTTCCCTTCCCTCCTTCTTCTTTTACATGTCACCATGGTTCAAACCTTCATGCTTTTGCCACATTTTTTGTACCACTTTGACTCAACTGATGCTAGTTTCATGCCTTGTGTGAATAATGAGGTGCAAAAAAAGTTGAACAAATGCTCAGTGTGAACAAGGCCTGAAAGTACAAAATGCGCTGCTCCTTGTCTAATAGTTTTATATTTCTGCTGAGAAAAAAGGAAGACATCATTGTCCTTCCTTTGTTCCTTCATTATACTCTGAAGTATGAGTTATGAGTTTCTGCAACAGAGGCTAAATGAGAGTGGTATTCCTACACAAACCATCTGAACTTCTCTCACTAGCTGGTATACTAAAAGTTCAATGTTGAAAACTCTATTCTGGCATCATGAACAATGAAAATTGCACCTGCACATCCACCCTGTGACAAAGTCATCCTTCCATTTATTTCTATCCTGTCTTAGCTCTGAGTTATCTTGGTTAATGTGCAGCCACTTCCTTAAATATTTAAAAAAGAAGCGAGTCTGTACACAGAGTACTTTCAGAATCGTGAGAGGTGGGAGGAAATCTGACATCAGATTTATTTTTTAAAAATACTTTACCCCACCTTTCTCTTTAAAAGGACTAGAAAAACTTTCGAGAATCCCAAGTTGTTCTACATTATGTCTCAGCAAAAGTACCTAACAGCAATCCAAACTAGTGTCATTAACAGTCTTCTCAGAAAGTTGCCACAGAGACAATGGAGAGATTACTTACTACCAACAAATGGATCAGATTCAAAGAAATCTATATTAGATCCTGTAGTCTGACCAGAGACCTGATCTGATTCTTCATCAAATGGATCTTCCTAGAAAGACAGGGGGGAAAAGGGTTTTTTTTTAAATTTAACTTTTACCCTATGAAGTCAGTCATTACTCCCATGCTCCTGTAAATGTACAGAACTGAAAATGAAATGTACACAACTTTCTGAATACTTATTAAACCATTACAAACAGAAAGTCTGTTCCACAGAATTGATTTCTCCTGAAATACCTCTCTCACTAAAGGTTAGCTCTGTTAGAGGATTCTCAGAAAAAGATGTGATGTGAAAAAGTTGTTTCCAAGACAAAAGGAGGGTGGGAATCTGCAAAAGCTTTACATTCTGAAAAGACAACTCTAGCTAGTGGGATAAATTACTCTGCAGGGGTTCGTACTCCCCACATACACCTACAGAATTAAGAGACATATTCAGTTCATACAGTACCATTTGGACAATCTCCAGTGCTGCAATTTAAAATATTGCTCAAACCCACTTTTTTGGTAACATCTGGTGGCATGATCTCTTTCGCCTCTTCTTCTGCTTCTGCTTCTACATGTATTACTTCAGGACTATTCCTGGCCTTTGAAAATAAAAATTAAATTTACAGATGTGAAGGTTCTCACTAAGCAAGGATAAACAGATATTTACAAGCTAAAAAAAAAGATGTACATTAAAGTAATAACAATGCAATGAAAAACTAGCTTGAATAGCTTGTACAATATTGCTGGCACACTTAATGGTCACAGTGTGTACATCTCTGGCACACATTCATTTGCAGTATCAATAGGTTTTAAGCAAATTTGTTAATAAACAAAGAAGTGAAACTTATAAGCAACAGCTTATATATTTACTGCACAAACAGTTGATAGAGTTGTGCATTATCTAAAATGAAGTGTGATATAGTATTTCAAACACTGATATAGAAAGGATAATAAAATCTCAAAACAAAAAAGCTACACTGTACAAAAGCCTTAGGTTTTCCAACACCAGCAGCATGCAGTTCATTCACTCCAGAAGAATCCTGGTATGTTAACTTGAAACTTTCCACCAATTTTGTTATTTCAGGTGCTCAAACATGAAAACATGAAAGTAAACCTTTGCTGACCTTTGCAACCCTAAGGGATGAAAGTAAAGTAAAAAGAAAGGACCATATATTATAAAGAATTAAGTTTCTCAACCTCTGGGGATTGAAGTCTATTTCTCATATGCTGTGCCACCCCTCAGATAGTACTGCTGTCTCTGACAATGGTGAACACAAGAGAAGCAATTAAGTTAGAACATTCAATCCTTAGAACTGATCTCTCTCAGAATTTGGTTGGTTGAGGATGATATAATGGAGAAGTGATTCACTAATGCACGATTCTGAACACATATTTCAGCAAGACTCATGCTGGCCTTCAAACAGAAATCTTGTTGATGATTTTTGTATATGTATAAGCTGAAGTTTTAATTAATCTAATTTTATAATTTAAATAAATCAGACACGTCCATTTACTTACAGGAGATTCATGACTTATCTGCTCAGCAGCTGCTGAATTCTCTCCTTCTGCATTCTCGTTCAAGTTCGCTGGCTCACTGCTACTGTTGCTGAGGCTAGAATGATCTATATTCCCATTAAGCAGTGTACTACGGGGCTGGACCTCCCAGTTAAACTGATTATTTTCCAACTCTTTGAGCTCAAACAGTTTTGTTTGCACCTATAAAGAGAAATTCATATATGTATATAGTTTAACAGAGTAGTAGAAGATGCAAATAACACGTGCAGTATTCTACTCATTCCCCATGTTTATAATTTATTATTTCAACTTCTGTACCACCCCATTAGTGCAAACACTCTCTAGGCTTTAAATGCCTATTTTCAGAATTAATTCTCTTTCTCAGTTTCCACTGAGAGATGAAAAATACAGCAGAGAACTAGGTATTTGCATAAAGATTTTTAAGTCTCTTGCAAAACCCCCCAGAAAAACCGAAACCTGCTTCACCCTTCTCCACCGGCTTTTTCAGTCTCCCCAAAATTCAAAACAATGACTATAGTAATTAATCCATAGGTATGCCCTTCAGCCACAACACTGAACAGCAGCTCCATATTTGGCTCTGTAATATCTGTTTGACAAAGCTCAGTTTCTCCAACAAAAAAGACTCTTTGGTGCAGACAAAGAAAAATGGCTTCAGTAAAACAGAAGGTTCATGCTGCAGCACCCAAGATTATTCTACTTAGATTTGTATGTTTTGGTTCAGTTAGATGCTGAACCATGGGGGGAGGGGAGCCCGCTTGAACCTCAGGCACATAGGCACTTTCCCCACCTGAAGTGTGGCTGCAAAGAGAACATTAAAAATATTTCCTCCATTGTTTGCACCAATGTGATGCTATGTCTGTGGTCTCAACTAAAGGGCTTAAATAATAGTTTATTTAAAACAACTCCAGATCAAAACAATGACTAGTAGCAGGAGAAGGGAATGAGAATGATGATGCAATAGTATATCTAATGAAATGGGAAACAGCTATAAGAATAAGACATTAGGGGAACAGATGAAATTAGAGCAATCTAGCTGTCTCACCAAGTCTCCTCCTTAGGAGGAAAAAATATACTATTACATTTTCACTACACTGTTCCTCTAGAAAATTCAAGACAGTGTATATCCTTCCCTCCTTTTATCCTCAAATCAAACTGTAAAATTCAGTGATTGCACAAGTAAGTCTTATGTCTCAGCCATCTAACTCCATATCTTTGTGGTCTAATTAATATAGCCAAAACCTGCTCATCTGAATGTAAGAAAAAGGTCTATGTCTGCTTGCAGAAGAACACCAAAAATGGGGCTGGGCTGGCCTCCCGTTAGAAGGAGTTCTAGAGTCTGTGAGCAATGACAGAGAAGGTCCTCTCCCATGTCCCCACCAAACGCACCTGAGATGGTGGTGAGACCAATAGAAATGCCGCCCCTGATTATCTTAACACCCAGACAGGCTCATAAAGGGACACATAGTCCTTGGGTTAGCTTGGATTATAACCATTAGAAATTTGTAGGTTAAAATGCCATTCACGACAGTGCAGTGATGAGAATTAAAGGTAAATGAAGAAATCAAAACAATGCAAGAAGAATAGAAGAGACATTCAAGAAAATCGGTTCTATTTTATAGAAGTTCTTACTGAAGTTATTTCTTGTTGTGAGTCACGAAGGTCCTTTTGAAGAGGCTCCAGCTGCAATCTTCCTGCCTCCACACATTTTTCAAGCTCTCCTGTTTCCTGCTGGAGTCTGCTTAGGAATTCTTGGGCTTTATTCAAATCATCTTTACATACTGAGATTTTTGATTCCTGATCAGTTATTTCTGCCTTTAGTGATGCAATCTGCAGATTGGAAGTTGAAGGTGAATAAATAAAAGAAGAAACTGCACAAAAATCTTCCTATCCATATATCTGTGAAGATTCTCAGTCATCCAGGTGAGGTTATCAGGAAGATGAGTCATGACAACTGGACTTATTTTATTTACAAGTTTTTTTAGCCGTGCCATTACCAGTGGTCTCTTAGTGGCGTACAATGTTAAAACAATCACTAAAGCATTTATATTAATAAATCCTGTTGCTCATATGGCCACATATTTAATTAAAATGCTGGCTAAACAGAAAGGTCTTTGCCTGGTGCCAAAAAGCCAAGAGTGTTGGAGCCAAGCGGATCTCTATAGGGAGGGTGTTCCAAAGTTGGGGGGCAACAGCTGAGAAAGCCCTATTTTGGCATGCCATCCCACTCACCTCTTTCAGGGATGGCACCTTCAGAAGGGCGTCCTGTCCTGATCTTAGAGGACAGGCAGGCTCATATGGAAGAAGGCGGTCCTTTAGGTAACCAAGCCCTAAGCTGTTTAGGGCTTTATATGTCAAAGTAAGCACTTTGAATTGGGACCGAGCAGCAACTGGCAGCCAGTGTAAATTTTTCAGAACTGGCATGATATGAGTCAGTGCGGCGGCACAACTTACCAGCCGCGCAGCCCGGTTCTGTGCCAGTTACAGTCGCCGGACTGTCTTCAAAGGCTGCCCCACGTATAGCACATTGCAGTAGTCCAGTCTGGTTGTTACCAGTGCATGTGTGACTGTTGCCAGGCTCCGCTCATCCAGGTAAAGGTGAAGTTGATATATGCTCTGCAGCTGTAAGAAGGCCCCCCTGGACACCAAGTCTACCTGGGCTTTCAAGGTCACACCTGGGTCAAGGAGCACCCCCAAGCTGCAGACCCTGTCTTTTAGGGGGAGTGTAACCCCATCTAAGGCAGGGAAATGGCCCTTTAACCTATGTGTTAGTTAACGTACGGCAGGGAAATGGCCCTTTAACCTATGTGTCAGTTAACCTACTTATTAGGTTGAAACATTTGGCTACTCAAATAGCTTCTTCAGTCTGAGGAGAGATGATAGGAGATCCCTGATATATCCTCCATGTTGGTTTCACTTCCCCCTGGTCTGAATAGGCTCCTTAGATGGACAAAGGAGGGACAGAGGCAGAGACGGGAGTCAAAATCTACTTCCCCCTGGTCTGAATAGGCTCCTAAGATGGACAAAGGAGGGACAGAGGCGGGAGTCAAAATCCCACTTCTGCAGTCCTTCTTCATCCACTGTCATGAGTGGTTAACAGTCATTATCAGTGGTCTTTCTGGTGGGTGTGGTCCTGACCTTTCTGGAGATGGATGAAAGGGCAGTATGATAAACAGGAGACAGATTGCACCTAAGACCTCCACCCCTGTTGAGTGAGGGATTTTCTATATGCACATGTGTGGCCTCCCTGACCCCTCTCTCAAATCACCTATCTTCTTGGTCCAAGATGAGTAAGATCACCTATCTTCTTGGTCCAAAATGAGTAAGTCTTGGTAATCAAATGAGTGTCCTTTGTCCTTCAAATTAAGGAACACTGCTGATTGTGGTCCTGAGCCGTTACCCCTCCAGTGCTGGGCCATTCTCCTGTTTAGTGGCTGTTTCGTTTTTCCAATGTAGAGCTCCAAACACTCTTCTTGGCATTGGACCACATACACTGTATTGCTCCTGTTGTGTTTTGCTGTCTGGTCTTTTGGGTGGATGCGTCTCTGCTTTAGTGTGTTTGTGGGTTTGAAGTACATGGATATGTGGTGCTTACCAAAAATCGTTTTGAGCTTTTCAGACCAATGCAAAGAGGAGTGTTGGGTGGAGGCCGTAGGTACAATCTGTCTCCTATTTATCATGATGCCCTTTCGTCCATCCCCAGAAAGATCAGGATCACACCCACCAGAAAGAACACTGTTAATGACTGTTCATGACCCATAACAATGGGTGGAGAAGGACTGCAGAAGTGGGACTTTCACTCCCCACCCCACCCCCACCGCATCCTTCGTCCATCTAAGGAGCCTATTCAGACCAGGGGGAAGTGAAACTAATGAGGATATATCAGGGATCTCCTACCAACTCTCCTCAGACTGAAGAGGCTACTTGGATGAGTAGCTAAATGTTTCAACCTAATAAAAAAGAAGTCCAGTTGCCATGACTGAACTTCCAGCTTCCCATCCATATTTTTTAAAAGTACAAAAGGAACAGACAAGCAAATATGTGAAGTGCCTTCCGCTACAGTGCTCCAAGCAGCAGCGCTAATGTAAGTCTGACATTTATTGTAGGATGTTCTTCTCTGAAGAAGTACTTGGGCTACTTGGCACTCTCAAGATATTTTGGGCTGTATCCCTGAACACTGGCCATGTCATCTGGGACTTTTCGAAGCTGTAAGTCCAACTCATATGGAAAGTGTTGCACTATCTGCCCCTGTTGATGGCTTTTATTCCATATCCATACATGTATAGTATTAATTACAGTCCTTCATGATTAATACACAATAACGAAGTGTATAAAAGTACCTACAAAAGTAAATTCATGCATCCTACAATAAAACAGCTAAGGAGGAAAATGCATAATTTCTGCTGAGCTTTATGACATAAACAGTTTTTCAATGAACGAAGTGATGGAGGGATTTCTACAAGATAAAGAGAATTGTATCAGATATATCTCTGCCTAACAGTTTCATAAGATTCAAAGTAAAAATTCCTGTATGGAATTGTGGCAATCTGCAATAAAACAGGACATGTTGAAGAGCCTCAGGGACCCCAGAGACACAAGGGTCTGCACAATTCCTTTGACTAGGATGTCACACAGATTATCACATTTTACCATGTTTCAGCATACCATACATTAAATATAGTTACATAATTATTTTATTCTTTTTTAAGAAAACTTTTCATAAATCAAGCTTCAAATGCCTCAGGTGTATGAATGTTAAGATTGGAACTCATCCAGACCTCAGCCAACATGTGATCTTTAAATAAAATCATGACAAACACATTTCAAAATTCTCTAACATAATAGTTCAGATAAGATACCTAAACATAACAATAACATGAATTCCTGGAAAACCATAAACCTACAGAAGCATATGTAAACAGATTGGAGAACCCTTCTCCAAGAACATCTACCTGTCCAACCCACTCTTCTCAGGCCACATTACTGACAGTGTGTACCCTGAAGTAAATAAAGAAAAATAATACTAGGACTTGGGCTTTTTCGACAGTAGCATCCTCAAGTGTGGAATAAACTTCCATCAGAAATGAGACAGGGTCTCTCCCTACAGATCTTCAGAAGCTGATTAAAGATAAGAACTGTTTAAGAAGGCTTTCAGCAACATCCTAGGCTAATTTGCAAGCCCTGTGCGTATATTTGTAGCTCTGGCCACTGATTATTTTTATTATAATACATTTTATTTATTATGTTATGTGTCATGTAATTTGGTTTACTTGTTACCAGGCATTATCTTAAGTCACCTTTTCTGTTTCACTTTGTGCATTATGCTGTCTGATTTTCTTTTATTATTTTAGTTGTTACATACTAACAAGAGCCATATCATAATTACAACTAGATATCTTTTCTTCACTTGGCTGGGACTTAAATTTTAATCAATATTCAGCATTTTGCTGTTCACTTTACTACGGAATGATCACTACATTTTCCTATTCCAGCTCTTGTCTTCGTCATGTAAAATACACTCCTATTCTTCCACCGCAAATACAGAAAACGTGCATGTTTTTACAAAGGTGTTGCCAAGACCTACCAAATTAGCTTCCTCAGCACATTTCTGTTGGATGGTGTTAAGTTGCTCTTCCAGCTTGGCTTTCTCCTCATCAAGACCGTTAAGGATTTCCTCTGCTTCCTGCTTCTCAGCCAAGAGCTTCTGCAAGTTATTGCTCTCTCTCTTTACTTCATCCTGAAGATCCTGATTTTTTAAAAAACAAAACAGAACCATCTGACTAATACTTTTCTAAGAAAAAGTACACAGAGAAGTTTGAATTTAAAGCGATGACACAGAAGTAGAACACTGAGAAAAGAGAGGCAATAGTGAAATTCAAGAGACAGCAGTTAATGTGAAAAAAGAGACACATGAAATGTATTGACCATGTTTTCCAAAAGAAAAAACGAATGAGTCACAATGAAGGTTTAATTTCAGAGACAGGCATCAAGAAAGGGAGAGATGCAATGCAGGAACAAAATAAGAAATTAAACATGTTCAGAGATGTTATTAGGTGATACCCTTGGCACTTTAATAACTGAGATGCTATTGGGCACTAGATGTCTGTAGACAGAAACATCAGATGGGCAAAACTGACACGGAAGGGGGTGGAGTAGGAAAAAAAACCACTCATACGTGACAAACGTATTTTTAATTGGATTTTTGGGCCACCAGTGAAAAGGTGGTCAGCAAGGGGAATAGACACAAATCATTACAGCATGTTGAGAGGACCTATTGCAAAATTCCTACAAATTACAATAGATTCTTCCAAGAAGGGCAGAGCCTGTAAATTCAATTACATTTTATCTTAAAACTAAGTCAACCATCATCACTAGTAGAACTGCTTTTCAATTAACATGCAGGACCCCTTACATACAGGGCTGGACTTTCAGTTATTTGTCTACAAGACTGATAGGTTTCCTTTTAGCTTCCCTTCCCCACCGAAAAAGAATTTATTTATTTAATTTATTTATTAAATTTAAACCCCGCCCATCTAGAACGAAGTCTACTCTGGGCGGCAAACAATAATAAACAGAACAAAAACAATATAATAAAATAAAAAATAACAATAGAATATAGTTCAAGATAGGAAAAAATATTCAAGTGATGACAGGAGAGAAAGCCTGCCTAAAGAACCAGGTCTTCAGTTTGCACTTAAAAACATCCAGCGAGGGAGCCAGACAAGATCTCTGGAGGCAGAGTGTTCCAAAGGCAAGGGGCCATTGTCGAGAAGGCGCGGTTTCTTGTTCTTTCTTTCCACGCCTCCCTCAGCGTTAGGCCCCTCAGCCGCCCTTCCTGGCTAGAATGAGTGATTCGGGTAGATCTAGGTGGGAGGAGGCATCTGCTAGATATCGAGGTCCTAAACCATTTAGGGCTTTATATGTCATCATTAACGTTTTGAAATCAATGCGGAAACGAATGGGCAACCAATGCAAGGCAGCCAGAGTGGGGGAAGTCTGCTGATATTTTCTTGTCCCAGTGAGAAGTCTGGTTGCCGCATTCTGCACCATTTGAAGCTTCCGCATCAATCTCAAAGGTAGCCCTATGTAGAGCGCAATACAGTAGTCTAATCTCGAGACTACAAGTGCATGGACCAGAGTGGTGAGGGCCCTGCCATCAAGATAGGGACACAGCTGGGCAATCCGCCACAGATGGAAATAGGCAGAGCGGACTACTGACGCCACCTGGGCTTCCATGGTGAGCGCCGGATCCAGATGGACCCCCAAGCTGCGAGCCTCATTCTTCGCGGTGAGAATCACTCCACCAAAAGAGAAGGAGTTTCCCAAACCACTGATGGAGGGGCCACCCACCCTCAGGACCTCTGTCTTGTCCGGGTTCAGCCTCAGTCCATTCTCCTGCATCCACTGAAGTACCGCCTCCAGGTAGTGCTGAAGGGATGGAATGTTATCCACTGTGGTTGGAGAAAAGGAGATGTAGAGCTGGGTGTCATCAGTGTACTGATGGCATGAAGCCCTACACCCCCTGATGGCCCCACCCAGTGGCCTCATGTAGATATTAAACAGCATTGGGGAGATAATCGAGCTCTGAGAAACCCGACAATTGGGACTCCACAGGGCCGAAACACACTCCCCAAGCTGTACTCTCTGAGGATGGTCCTCCAAGAAGGATCGGAGCCAGGCAAGCACCTGATCACCGATTCCCAGCTCAGACAGCCTCCCCAGGAGGATACCATGGTCGACGGTATCAAAGGTGGCTGAGCTATCGAGGAGGACCAGCAGAGACATTTTTACCCTATCGGACTCTCTCAGCAGGTCATCAAACAGGGTGACCAATGCCGTTCCCAGAACGTGGTGCGGCCTGACGCCTGACTGGAATGGATCCATGGCATTGGTTTCATCCAGAAGAGCTTGGAGCTGGTCAGCCACCACCCTCTCTACCACTTTGCTGAGGAAAGAAACATTGGTGATGGGCCTATAATTGACAATATTGTCCGCTGCCAAACTTGGTTTCTTCCTTATGGAACCTTGTCCTCCTGGAGAGACCTATTAATTATTGCTGTGGCCCATTCGGTTGTTGTAGACCTGGCTGCTTTGATTAGCCAGGCTGGGCAAGGGTCAAGGGAGGAGGTGATGGCACTACAGCAGTCAAGCGCTTTGTCCACCTTATCTGATTTCACAGGCTGAAAGAGATTGAGTCTCATCAGAATCCATTTGGGATTGTACTTTCTTGCTACAAAACCGGTCACCACTATTTTTGCCATTGTGCCTTTCTGACACACCATATTTCTTAGCAAAAAGACTGGGAGTTTTTGCTCTGATAGCAGAATATGTAGAGAAAGGAGAAATGGTGATGACCACAGTGGAAAAATTCCTGTGGGAGATGTGCATGCTTCACAGGCTACATGCTGTCAACCCTGCCTTGAACTGTTGTGATAATCAGAAGAAACAAAAGGAAGAACCTAGCTCATACACAAAGATTATTAGTAGGAAAGCAAACATACTCAACATTCCTGCCGCCTTTAGAAAAAGGAAATAATTCTGCAATGGGGTAGTTCTGCTCATAGTTCCAATCAACAGATTTGTGTTCCAATAAGCTTCTTGTAAAGACTGCAGCTTTAGTGGTCATACTAATAATATATATGATGAGGAACAAGGGCTTCAGTAGTATGCGATATAATAAGAACTTAAAAGCTTTGCCACTTGAAGCATGTAGTTTCAAGTCAAACAAGCTGGCATATTATTTCAGGATCAGAACACACCCTCTATTCCCACATCTTTTTTCTTCTTCTAAACTCTAGATTAATTTTCTATTAATATAACTTCAGGAATCTTAGTTTAAAAAAGAAAATGTCTGTACCAAATAAATTCCAGGTTGTATATATTATGCACTATTACCACCATATATATATTTCTGTTAGTATATCTGAATTATATCAGAATTATTTTTAAACAATAATAAAATCTAGGTTTTTTATGTTTGCTATGTTAAATATAAGGCCAGTTTTTAGTCAGATTTTATTATTGTTTAAAAATACTTCTGATATAATTCAGATATACTAACAGAAATCCTTAGTTCTCCACAACATATCAAAGAACTGTTCACAAAAGTAAGCAACACAATAATCTTTTGCAAGATACTGCCTCATTTTTCTCATTAGAAAACAGTACTAACAAAAATTCTGATAATAATAACACTGCATCCTCAAAAAAGAAAGACCTATTATGCTTTCAAAGGAAGCTGCTTTTGCTTAGCAATTTAGAGCAAAAAGCATTTAGCATTCTACTATAACATAGATAAAATCATGTATTTAAAGGTTTAGGGTAAAACACTAATCACTCATGCATGGGCAATTTCAATTAAGTCAATGACCTTCCTGTCTGAAGAAATTAAGAGCCATGTTTCCAGCCTTTCCTTTTCATCAGACAAAAACCTTGAAGTGCAACATGGTTCAGTGTTTAGATTCTACCATCACCCACCAAAAGAACAGCTACAAACACCTCATTCTGTGATCATATTATTCTCATTTTCAAGAATAAAATGCCACATTTTCCCATCTAGGCCTCAATTTCTAAAAAGAAAAACAGATTACTTTCATCAGCATGTACAAAAAACCTTGTAATGCAATCTCTAAAGGGCACCCTGCTTATTGCGATATATTTTTCAGTATGCTATCAGTCAGCCAGATCCCAACATTAAAACAGTAATTACCTGCACCTCACTTGTCCTTCGTTTGATTGTGTCTTCTTTTTCCTTTAGGTCTTGTTCCACATTATTCTTTTCCCTGGAAGACCAGCAAATAATACAAGAATATTTAAGAACATCCACTACACCAGGTACTGTTATCCAGCCCCCTAAGCCAGTCTCTCCTTTGAAATACATAGCAGAACATTAAATGTCTATGAAACTCCTTTTCATACAAAAGACAACAGAAATAGCCTGCATATGCCAAGAATTAATAATACAAAAGATTCCCACTCTGCCAGACATGTGTAGGTGGAAAGAATAGCTGAAAGAAATAGCAGAGGGGAAAGGAAGGAATCAATGAGATACTGTCTTTGGTGATCTCACTGTTGCTATGGAGCAATGGTCGGGTGAAAAGGGGGAGTGATTGCATCAGCTCCCTTTCCGTTCTGTTTAACCCCTTTAAAGCAGGAGCTTTAATTCTAGTAAGCCAAGTTACTTACTCTTTGTAATAGCCACGTGCTACCACATTAATACTATTTTAGCAGAAGGGTATGGATTTTAAGTACAAATGGCAGAGTGAATATCTTTCGCCATTTAGATGGCACACATGAGGAGGATTTACATACAGTGGGTTCCAGTCTTCAGATGTATCCAAGGAATAACCAGCAGGATTTAAATGGCTACTAGCAGGGTTTTGCAGACCTCTGTAGGGAAGTGTTAGCACAAAAATTTGCACAATGCTGCTATAGGTAGATTCTTCAGCAACTCTTGTGCTTCCATTAACCTTATCACAAACAAAAAAATCCCTCTGTGGGATATGTTTTCCTTTTCCTTTCAGAATATCCTAGCATCAAGTTTAAGATAGCTTTTCTCTGAGCCGCAAATGACAGAACACACAGTTTCTTCAGCACATTTGCTAGTATGTGATCTGATCTTAATATAATTTTATCAATGTCTTGGCCATTGAATCATGCAATATGGAACCTCAGTTTAACCATGGTTAATATCAATGCTGGTAGAATGCCTAAGTTAATTTAAGGCCAAATCAAGATAAGTCATTCCAAACTGCCAAGAAAGCAAACTATCTTTCTGTATGCCATGCTTGGTCTCCCAACCAGGGTTTATAAGATTGAGATCATGTCCAAATAGAACCCTTATCTAGTTAAAAAGTATTTATTTATTTAAAACATTTTACCCCACCTTTCTCCTTAGAAAAGGACTCTTTTTCTAATGGGTCCTTTTCTAAGGAGAAAGGACTCCTCAGAAAAGGAAAATTAATCAATAAAATGGTTTTCTGTTATAGTAAAGTACCAACTGGAAGGCTAAAAAAGCACATGTTTGTATTTATATATATATTTAAACAAAGAGTACTTCAAACTTTTCTAAGAACATTCATGCTATTTTGGTAATAGAGCCAAACATCTGCTCCAATAGAAAGAATACAGTTTAGTATCAAGTGGTCAGTGACATACTGGAGAGATAATAAATATCTGGCCATTTTCCACAACAATGCACAAAACCCCAACTCACACTCCAGCCCTTAAAGGCAAGCTGTGACTTATTTATATCTACAAAACATCACTGATTCACTTTCTGCTAAATATTGGGGTCAAGATGACATCTTTGCAAGACAGGCTAGCTATAACCTTCCTTAGCAATCTGCAATGCATGCAATGTACTACTAAAACAATTTTTAAAGCTGCCTTGCATCAAGCAAATGTCGTTTCTTTCAAGTGGACTTTGCTTCCAAGAAAATGCACTTTCCTATCCATTTCAATTTTGCCCAATATTAACTTCAAAGCAACAGAGATGACTGCATCATTTTCATGCTCTTCAATGCCTACATGTTAATTCCAAATTAGTTGTAAAACACATTTCCATTTTTGCAAGAGCCATAGAGAACAACTGCTAAAAAGAGACAGACTTTCACTTTTTGACAGCAGCACATTGGCCAAAACCCTATTGCTTAATGTAGAAAATCACACTAGAGTACCCCCGCTGAATCGATGGAGACTTTGTGGGTCAACTCTGTAATTTCCATTGATGCAAATTGGCTTACTCCAAGTGGAACTTACTATGTTAAAGTAAGCCACAAAGTAGGGTTATGTGAATTGATGGAACATGTGGAGAGCTGCCTCACCAAATGCCCAATGATTCAATGGGTCTACCCTAGCACAACTTATTGCACTAACAGGATTTTGGTCATTATAAGGCACAGTAGAGCCCCTGAGCCTTTTTCTTAACTTCTATTTAAGACCACAGACATTAAAAATGTATCAGAAAATTAATTTACAGCAAATAAGTTAACAAGTTAACTTGAAAGTTTATAAAACAGTTAATTAATACAAGCACTGAAGTCTGGAACACAAAATCTACAAATACTTAGTTCCTTTATATTTTTGATGATAGACCCCTTCTATTTTTTCGATCCAATGCAGCCAAAGGAGGTAGTTTGAGCTTAATTTGAGAAAATGAAGTATCACAAATGGCATCGATGAAAATATTATCTATTTATTTCATCTAGCATCTCCTTATGTTGTTCTCCAGACTTTAAAATATTTAAGAAAAGAAATCACAGAGCCTAAAAAGCCCCCACTATTGTCTTCAAGGTAACAGGGGGAATGGTTCAAAAAAATATTAAAAACTGAATTAAAGAATGAGGCAGTAGTAATCTCCCCTCCAGTGGTTCGACATGGGAAGCATTTTTTAAAATGAATTATTGAAACATTTTATTATATCCTTCTTCCATGAAAGAAACAAGAGGCCACATAACATTTTTGTTTCCTCTTTTGGAATTTCTAAAGACAGCCAAACATATTACAGTACTCATCTAGGTTAAGAATCCTAAAAAAGTGCCTGATATGACAGCCTGCATAATGGCACTGACTGAATATGGGCAATGTTTATTCATCCCTCTTTAGCACCCCAGAACCTAGGGCTTTGAGAACTCTAAAATATTTTCTGACATTTATAATTGTCACGGTTAGTAAAAGTCCATTAAAGGTTCCTACTAGACTCACGTGAAACAGATACCAAAGTTTTGGTAAAATCACCATCTTAATAGTTGCTATTCCCCTCACTCTAGATAGTTTTAGTTTTTCAAATATTGTCATATTTACCTAGCCTGATGCAGTAGAAGTAGTGGGTGGACAGTTTTTCTTAATTATAAACCTCTACTGCATCAGGCTAGGCAAATATTACAGATCTTAAATAGTGAACAGAAGGGGCAACAAAGGACAAACCTGTTTTGCTTCTCCATTAATAGGTATTGTAAGAGAGTCCACAACTGCTTTTAATTGGTTTATACTACGATTGTATTATAAAGTACACAGGCTACACAAAAAAGACCCTACATCTGTCTTGTCACATACTTTTAGGAGAATATTCTATCCTGACCCATTGAAAGTTTTTGTTGCATCAAAAGATGTCATCGCATGTATGGCTGGTGCTATGATGAACAACAGTGAAAAGCCTTCTGACAGAAGACATCAAATGACAGACTGGGTTTTCTCCCACATACAATTTTATTCCTTCCCCCAATCTATTTGCCAGAATTTCTATAAAAAAATTACAGTCCTGGTTAATTAGAGTAATGGTATGAAAACAGTCAATTTCTTTGGTTCGGGGAATAAGGATAATTCATAATAATTGCCATGAGGGAGGGACAAAATAAAGATGAAGTCGACCAAGTTTATCACTGAACGTCTATACTACCCTCTCCGTAAGACATCAAGCCCAGGGCCCTGATGAGGTTTCATTTTCTAAACTCCTCCATCAGTACATCCACTGTAATTGAACAGTTTAGTAAAGCTTTTCGAGTAACTTTTAAAAAATTCAAACTTTATTATTTAAAAAAGAATACAAATTCTGTAACAATTCACAAAAAAGAAACAGACATGTTCCATTTCTTACTTTATCAGCCTAATACATAACAAATATTTCAGATTTTTATGTGTACCTTACAATTTTTTTTCATCCTCTGACCGTATGACCATTTAGTTAACAAAGCCATATTGTAGACACAATTAAACCAGTTATTTATAGAATGGGGCTCTTTTTTAATTCGTTTTTTGTTATAGCTATCTTCATAGCGGCAAGTAGACTTTAGACCTATTCTACCTCTGATTCGTTAACCAATCTTTTATGTAACCCGACAGTTATCATAAGATCCAATGGAATATTGCTACATAAATTATTATCAATAAATTCAACCACAATACACCAAAAAAGTCAAATTTTATATATACTATAAGGTGCAAGTTAGCGCTGAGAGTATTCTACAAAAATTCTCTCTCAAGCTAATTGAACTTAATTTTTAATTAACATTTTCTCACGTCCATTTCCACTCTGTTAATATTGTAAGTCTTTTTAAATTAATTGATTAAATACAGATTCTTTTAGGTCAGGAAGATGAATAAAAAATTCATCTATCCATTGCTAAAAAATACAGCCCTTAACAGAAGTTTGTGAAAAATTTAAGAAGAGCTCATTAATTTTGGAAGACTGAAAAATCTTCCCAGTTTTATTTCGATAGATGAAATTTGATTTTTTAAAAAGTTTTATTTTCCTGATGTAATTTGCCAAAAGCTTAGAAATGTTATTACTTAATTCACAAAAATGTGTGATTAACTAGCTATGTATCTCTAGAGAACTGATTAATCTTCATGTTTTTAGCTTATTTATTTATTTTTTTAGATGTCAGTATACTAATCCTTTTTGAATTTATTTTCTAAGTTTTTAATCTTTTCAAGAAGTTGATTCCTTACCACTCTAGACAATCTTTCAATATAACCTATTTCTTTTTTACAGTCACCTCTAACAGTTCTCTTAAAAGTGTCCCAAAATAAGTTAGCAGACACCTCCTGAACAGTTTTCCATAATCAAGTTAATTAGCATAGATATCATTTAACCCTAGAAAATTCTATTGTTAGTATAAAAGGATTTAATAAGCAGTAAAAGGGTTCAATATGGTCATTGGAGAGTAGCAACAATGTTTGTACCAGTGCATGACCTGCAGCAGTTATTTGGCTAACTGCTGAATAATTAATATAATTAGCCCAGTAACAAGACACCAGAATTCAGTCAATCCTTGAGTACACATCACACTGAGAAGAACAGAAGGGGTAGTTTCATTTGTTTGGATGACGTCATCTCCAAACATCTGTCAAGTAAAATTCTGTTATGATGGCTGAAATCCTGTTGCTTTGTTACACAAGTGAAAGTCAAATGGCATAACATTCCATTACTGGATTTCTCAGGGGGCATGCACCTCTTGGATTGGTGTATACTGGAAAATCCAGCAGGAACTTGTTATCTGTCAGCTAGAACATATTGACAGTTAGGCTCTTTTCTTTTGTAACAGGATTTTCTTTTCTAAAGCAATAGGATTTCAGCCATATGTCAAACTAGAACAAGGTTTTGAGTTCTACAGCAACTAATGTCCAGCTGGTCCACAGCACCATGCCTTATTTGTTTTTGAGTGGGTTACTTAACCTGTTGAAATTAAACAAAGTGATTTGTATCATGGTCATTTAAAACTTACTTGGGTATACTCTTTAGAATATATCTGCCATACATAGGATTCATAAGATTGTATTTTCCTTAGTCAGATCAGTAAGATTGCTTGAAGCAGGAAGCTGGGTACAAAGAGAGGCCTACTGAATCATCACAAAACAAGTTAGGTAGGGCTTCCCCACTCAGTAGATTCTGATTAGACATGGGACAGTCATATTTATATCCCTGGGGATATGAATATCGGCACGGAAGGTGCCTAGAAAAACCGGACCCTACCCTCTGAATCAGCAGGTCCACCCACCATGCGTGGCCAGTGTTGTTCCCGTCGCTTAATAGCTAAGTGGGGAGACTCGTCATCCTGCCTCTTCACCAGAGAGGTTGGTGGTGTGGGAAGGCAGGGAAGCACTGGCCAGGCTCCTTCCACAATTGGTACGATGAGAACTATACTGGTTGAACGTTCCGCACAGCAAGGGGAGACTGGACCTGCCAGTACGGGGCGGGGGGGGGGAGGAGAATCCAGTTTTCCCAGGCACCTGTGGTGCTGATATTTGTATTCATTTCCCAGGATAGAGATGCAAATATCCCATGTCTAATTCTGATCAGAAGAGCCTAATTTTTAATGTAACCAGGAACTCAGAGGTAACAGAAAGAAGTAAAGATTTGGCTCCAAAGAGAATTACTGTCAAATGTGTGCATTTTTATGATACAGTCAGATAAATATTCTGTTGCCACTGCAAACTGTTAACAGTTCATCTCTGTGAATTTGCACAATTGTGGCAAGATTTGAAGAATCAAGGTTATGACATCCAAAAATCCAAATTTCTTTGAACATTTTGTCCTGCTCTCAACATTAGCTGCTCTCATCAACCTTAATGTAGTTCAACATTCTGCTTTGTTGAAAACTAGAGCCAGCTTCATCTAGGTCTTCTGCTTTGTCCAAATATATTTAAACCGCCAGCAGCTTTTAGACCCTAATAACATGCTCCTAGATTGTACTTATTTCATTGTTAACAGTTCTGATCTGTTTATAATTATTAACCTTACTATTTAAAAGTGCAAGTTACAGAAATATTGAAATCATTTGAAATTAAATGAAAACACACAGAAAAAAACAAAACATTTTCTTTGCTTACCTCTGTAGATCAACTATTTCGTTGCTTAAACTATCTAGCTCTTTGATTGCAGAAAAATCTGCTACAGGGCTCAATCCTAGCGTGTTCTGCAATGTTAGCAAGAAAATATGTTTTTTCCTGATCAATATTCAGAACAGGAAGACCAATTTATAGTGATGCAAACAGCCCATATGGTATCTAGTCCTTAGTAGGGGGAAGGGACACCTGTTATGACCACAACGTCTGTACTGAAATTACAAATTAAGAGTCAACAGCTGAACATTTCCTTTGATATTACTAGTTTCTCTGATGCTGGGACTGAACAAAATATTCAGGAGCTTGTTTGCTTGCTACATATATGTATCATTCAAAAAAATCAAACACCAATACAAAGACAGCTGTCTAGACAGAATGCTACATACTCTGTATATTGCCTCATTAGGTGCTTATATGCTTTCCATTATAACTTTTATCTCATTTACATTAGTTACAATTTTACATAAAGCTTGGATTTCTATTCTATGCGCTACTTAACAGCTGCATTTATAAATTTGTAGCTCTTTGCACAACAGCAAACACAACAATGTAAGCTTGCCACTCTCATATAGAAAGCAAGGAGTAGGAAATGAAATTTTCAGAGCATAGTTTAGCATGCAGCTAAAAGCACCAAACAGCACTTGATTAGAAGGCAATCAAAGTTTTTCAATTACACTTCCACCCAATTAATAAAATACACAACTGCTGAATTACCTGAAATGTTCCACAAGATTGTGCTAGTTTGTAATACCTCCTCCACCAGCTTTTCAGCAGAACAACATCTGTCAACTTTACTAATTTATACAGTCAGCTGCTTAATAGTGAATGCACCCACGTAGAAACTGCATTAGTCTACTGTGTTAAAACTTGAGCCTTCACAGACTGTTTTGACAAGGAAGTTGAAAACATGCTTATATGGCATACCTCTTGTATCTGGGCATATTCAATCCCAGAAAATTGATAAGAAGAAATAAAGACTGTTTATGCCTAAAATATTTCAAGTACTGTTGCCTTCCTATAGGTAACAAGATAAAGTACCCAATATACTATTCTGTAAAAAAAATTAAATGCAGCAAAAACCTTTGGATAAGAATGGCTATTATGAAAATAGGATTAATATTCATAGAATTAAGCAGCATCCTGCTGTTCCAAAGAAAATGTGATATGAGTAAAATACTCATTATTAAACAGTCAATATTGGAAAAGTGAAGAATCTCTAACCTTGAGATGGCAGATTTAAGAAACTGACAGTATAATAAAGATGTAAAGCAGAATGGTGCAGAATGGAAAATATAGTCCAAACTAGGAAAGACATAGAAGGAAAGCAAACATACAAAAAATATTAGTAAAGCAAGAAAGAAAAGCAATTTTTCCCAAAATAATGTAAAAATAAACCTGATTATTATTGACTTCAAACAAAATGCAGCATATTTAAGTGCCATTTCTGGGCAAGAGTTCAGTTTATTTTGGAGATTTATGTGGCTTAGCACAACCAAGGAGACCTTTAATTCAGATTTCAATGTAGTATACTGTTTTTTACTTGGTACATGCTGTTTAAAAATAAACAACATAACCATCATATATAAGACATGATAAACCTATTTAAAGTGAAATTATTATAGTAAATCCCTTTTAAGAGGTTAGAAATCATGCAACTCCTCAACAGGACACACTGAAGATATAAGGGAGGGAAAAAAGTAGATGTTATCTCCTGACAAAAAGCTCCTAGCATATATAGGAGACCTTCTCCCTGAATGTAATACTGACAGCAATTTGTCTATGTGAAATTTACAACAATAATAGTAATTATAATCTTAGAACTGTAGATCTGGAAGAAATTGTATGGGTCATCGAGTCCATCATATTTCTCCTGTGTATATAAAACTACCCCTGATACTATAGGGAGTCTCATGCATCCCAGATTTGTATCAAATCACTACCAGAATGAAACATGGCAGGACCAAAGTAAACTAAGCATATTTCTGCTTGCAAAAGGTCAAACAGGAGCTTTTCCTCAACAAATACCTTCAAATTTTCAAGATGCCTTTAGAAAAAATGGATTGCAATCCATGAAGGCTTAGACTGAAAGGAATCTGCTATTTTTAATGGGGCCTCAATACTTTTCTTTTTGTTGTCCAATTTTTCATTTTCTTTGTCTAAACATCTGCTTGGTTGGCCAGAATGATGGAGAGAAATATCAATAAAGTGAGTAAACAACACTTGAATTCATTCATTCAAGTATTTATGTTAAGCAGCATAATTTGCAGCACCATATTCTCATATTAAAAATAAATTATAATTTCTTCTTTATGTCAAAGTATTTTGATTTTCTCCCCTGTGAACTGTCACCTTTTGTAGAGTGGTTCTCTCTGATGGAGGAATCATCTCTGCAGTTAGCAGTTGAGGAGGATCTATGCCCTTTGTCAACTTCTGATTGATGAAGTGGAAGGCCAAAGCAAATTGTTCTTTGGACAATTTCCCACAGTCCTTTGTGTCACACAGAGCCCTGTAAAAGCCATTTTAAAAAAAAACACAGTCATGTTGCTGTCAAGCTTGAAAATCATGCAGTTTGGGGAATTAGTGACATAACAGCTGTCATTACAACTTTAAGGACAAATGCATAACTATCATCTCAACATAGCAAAGAGGAACATTAGCAGATACTAGGGGGCATTTAAAGGGTGAAAGCAAATCCCTTATCTACAACGAATACAAGATTCAGTAAGTACTTGACTGACCACTGCTGGAAAAAGGACCTTGACTTAGACCTTAGTCAAATCTAGTGAAGTTATTTTTCACAAAGAAATAAGTATAATATTTGTATTTTTCTATTGACCGCAGCTATGAGAATTAAATTTCTTGTTTTCTTAGTGTTAATTAAGGGTCACTAGTTAACAACTGTTAGTTAAATCTTCAGTGTCAAGTATTTTGTGTGCTAGGTGCATTTACCAAGTTGATCACAGTATACATACACATTAAGATGAATGAAGCAATTATAAACAACACTTTCTCTAAAATGCACTTTTGAGGGGAGGCACCAAGAGTGTCTGTGTTTTTTAATATAGCCGTCTTGGTGGCTACATAGTCTGAATAGACATGAGGCAGGGAAAGTTAAAAAATGTAAACACAAAAGAATCTCATAAAGGTCAAAACAGCTGTCCCTCAATTCAGCCTCCTGAAATACCGGCTGGTTTAAGACTCTGAAGTTGCAGTCAATGTGAGACAAGTGGGCCTTTTGACATGGCACTGTGAATATCCTCTGTCCAGTGCCACCAAACCTATCTCCTTTCCCAGCCTCCTCCTGCCCCTTCCAGCACCAATCTTCTGTCCTTGCCCATTTCTATGAGTCACTCATTGAGATACGTCCACCATTTTGTGCCAGACCCCAAATGATTAGATATGTTTATCTGGCCAGGTGGCGACAATGGTGCATCTGTAAGAAAGCCTACCCAACACAGGTCTCTGATCCACAGTAGTTCCATAGTTGTCCCCCATAACTTATATTACCTAAAATCTAACGCCTGATGTAACATTTATCTTGGATCTGAGCGGCTTGGGGCACAACTACACTGTCAAATTAAACTGGGATCAGGTTTGGGTTTTTAGAAATCAATCTAACATTATGTGGTTTTTGTGCTGCTGTGTGCATCCACAGGGAACAACTTTTAAGTCTGATGGTAAGTTATGTGCTACATCCAGCATTCTAGTTCCCCATTTTCCTAGTTTTTGCTTTGCACTGGGAACTTAATTCTTCATCCTGTTTTTTTAGGCAGAGCTTGCTCACTCTGAGATAGCTGGCCTAGAACTCAGCAGCTTTTATTCAGCAATGCCAGCATCACCACACCAACACAGCACACAACTACTGTAACAGCTGTTTCTTCTGTCATTTAAGAATGGCCATATCTGGTAAATTGCATTTTTTGCCACTGTTCTCCACATGGCTGACAGGGCTGGGCATGTACACTTGAAATATTACTGCTATGGGTTCACAGCACTTGTTAAGTAAGGATATGTTTTCAATTGGTTCAAGCCAAAACATTAGTTCTCTACAAGAACTGATATAAACAAACTTACCAGATACGTGCAAGTAAGGTAGATGGCAGACCAGTCTTTAAGAATAAATCTCTAGCTTCCACCCCAGATACAAAGCCATCCACGTCTTTATCAATTTTTAAAAAGATTTCATTATATTTTATCTGATCTGCAGACGATACAACCCACTGTGGGGGAGAAAAGGAAATGCAAATTGAATTTCCAGTAGGCATTATGAAGGCAGAAGGACAAAGTGCTGCTTACTGGCAGGTATACCTGTGTTAATGATGGTGTTTTAGATGGCAAGAGGCCTACAGGTCCTATGGACTGTTGAAGATCTTTACCAGATGTTGAAGGGGGCACCAACTGCACTGTGCCTGGTAGACCAACCCCTTTTCTTTTAGAAGGTGGCACCAATGCTGGAGGCAAGGACATTGGCACAGGTTCTTTTTCAAGAGCACAGTAAACCAAGAACATGGCCTAAACAAATGGAACAAAAGAGGAATAAAGCACAGGTTTACTAGCAAATTTAGTTACACATTGTACTACAGCAGTCTTAAAAGGGTAAAGCAATGAAATATCATATATTCAACTTCTGCTTTCTTCTGTCTCAAGTGACTATCGTGATTCTTAAAATCACATTCTGGAACTACATTTTTTAAAAAAACTAAATAGTTTCATTAAACACTGATTAAAAATATTTGTGATCACAGAGAATAATAACATTTATTGATTAAAGTTTAACCAATAGCTGAAACATAATCATTACTTTTTATAGTTTTATAAATTTAAGCTACACTCATAAGTTGAAGAAACTTGTGAATACATATACAGTTGTACTCAAAATTATTCAACCCCCATTGCAAATCAGGTTTATTGTCAAAATCTACAGATTTTCAGATATTTGCAATGAACAAATCAATTCAAAGCAATTGAAACAGCTGAACACAATGAATGCTTCAAGTGGTTTCTCCAAATTCAACTGAAAATGCAACTTTTAATGAGTTCTGCAGTCTCAAAATTATTTAACTCCTTCATGGCAAGCATCTTTAGTAGAGAACCCTTTTGTTGCTATGACCTGCTGCAAACAAGATGCATAGCCAGACACCAGATTCTGGCAGTTTTCCTGAGGAATCTTAGCTCATTCCTCATGACCAATGGCCTCCAGTTCAGCCATATTCTTGGGTTTGTATCCTGCAACTGCCTTCTTCAAATCCCACCAGAGATTTTCTATGGGGTTCAAGTCAGGCAGTCGACTGATGGTCACTATCGAATCTTCCAGGACTTCTTCTACAACCAACCCTTGGTGGAATCAGAGGAATGCTTGGGATAATTGTTCTGCTGGAAGGTCCAATGAAAGTCAAGCTTCAGCTTCCTCACAGACAGCATGACATTTTCTCCTAGGATTTCCTGATAATTCAATTAATTCAGCTTGTGTTCCACACACTGCAGGTTTCCAGTATCAAAGCAACCCCAGAGCATCACCTAGCCACCACCATGCTTAACTGTAGTGTTCTTTTCAGTGTATGCTTCATTCTTCTTCCTTCAGACGTATCGCTGATCCATCAGGCTGAAAAGTTCCAGTTTTGGTTGTTGTGGTTTTTTTGGGCTCTTTGACCGTGTTCTGAAGGTTGTTCTTCCTAACGTTTCGCCAGTCTCTGTGGCCAGCATCTTCAGAGGACAGCACTCTGTGCTCTGGTGTAGCTTGCTTGGGAGTTGAGTATTTATGGCTGTGAGATAGGCTTTTGTCCTTTTCAGGAGATGGGTGATTAATGTGTTTTGTTGTCGGTGTATTGTTGTGATAAGGAGGAGAGATTATCTGTCACTGTGATTGATGGGTGTCATTAGCTGGTCTTTTGTGTGTAGTGATTCCCATTCCTTGTGGTTGGGTAGAGTTCGTTGACCTTTTGCACGCTGTATTTTTCAGAGCTATAAGCCAAGTTTTGTTGAGTTTCAAACTTTCCTCTTTTTTGTTGAAGTTCTGCTGGTGCTTGTGGATTTCAATGGCTTCCCTGTGCAGTCTAATGTAATGATTGTGGTGTTGTCCAGAATTTCAGTATTTTGACATAGAATTTCATGTCCAGTTTGTTTAGGGCATGTTCTGGTAAATTGTTTAGGGCATGTTCTGGTAATTTCAGCTATTGCCAATTTTTCTGGGTGTTTTAGTCTGCGGTGTCTCTCATGTTCTTTGATTCTTGTGCAGATGCTTCATTTTGTGGTTCCGATATCTGGCCACAACCGCAAAGTTCCAGTTTTGTTTCATCCTCCACAGAATGGAATTCCAAAACTTCTGTGGCTTATATGTATATGATTTTGAGTATATTAGATCTGACTTTTTTGTGCTCTTGGAACAGTAGTGGCATACGTCTTGGAGTTCTGGCATGGAAACCTTCTGTGTTTAATACATTCCTTACTGTGCAAATTGAAATGTCAGTGCCTGTTGCCACCATGTCTTGCTGCAAGGCTTTTGCAGTCACTTGAGGATTTTTCTCAATCTGCTTTCTCAAAAATCTGTTTGTAGCTGTTGATAGCTTCCTTTTTCTGTCCCATCCAGGTAGTGCAACCACTGTTCCCTTAACTCTGAACTTGCAAACTATATGATCATCATTATCATCTTAGAACTGCAGAGCTGGAAGGGACCCTATGGATCATCAAGTCCAGCTCCTGTCAAGGAGGCACCGTGGGGAATCGAACTCCCAACCTCTGGCTCCACAGCCAGATGCCTAAACCACCGAGCTATTCAGCAGTGTTTCTAGGAAAATTCAGTGCCTTCACTATCTTTTTGTATCCTGTCCCTTGCTTGAGAAGGGCGATGATATCTTCTCTTAACTTTTTGGACCATTCTTTTGATTTATCCATTTTTCTAACATAGAGTCAGACGTGACACTCACCAAACCCCTAGCCAGTTCAGGTATTTCATCTGTTCCAGCTCAAGCACACCTGGTACAACTAGTGAAACTCTTGATTAGTTGCATCATATATGCCTGAGACAACACCTGTTTTGCATATATGTGCTGTTGTGAGGGATTCTATTCAGGGCATTAAATAATTCTGAGACTGCAAAATTCATTAAAAGCTGCATGTTCTGTCGCTGAATGTGGAGAAATCACTTGAAGCATCTGTTGTGTTGAGCTATTTTAATTCCTTTTGTTTGATTTATTCATTGCAAATTGAACATCTGTAATGTCATTGAAAGTCTAAATTTTGACAATAAACTTGATTTGCAATGGAGGTTGAATAATTTTGATTATAACTGTACCGTCACTGACAAGGAAACTAGAACACTTACTCGTATTTTTTATTTTATTTTCTACGGTGTAGACAGAGAGAAAAAGGCAGGATATGCTTTTAAGAAGCTAAAAAGAGTCATTCCCTAAGAAAAAGAATTTGATGAAGTCAATTCAAGGAATTTCAGACAACACTTACGAAACAAAGTTGAGATCTTACCCTAAACATATTTCTGATAGCCTTGTGTTAATAATAAATATTTTTTCTCAATTTTAAGTGCTATCAATTTATTGCATCTATAAATATTTACATAAAACTGTAAATATTTATAGTTATATTTTAACAAAAATAATGTCTTCATTTTTGCGGATTTTGTGTTCACGCCTTTTTGAAAAAATTGTACAAGAAATAATAAAACAAATACTTGTATTACTTGGGAGGAAAGCAAAAGCCACAATGTCATAACCAGTCATCATTTGGGAAATTTACATAGTTAGGACCCACTAACTGCTTCTCCTCTTTTCCCAAATCAGTTATTTGCTTAAAGAAAGAAATCAAAACTGACATGAAATGAATGACAAGGAAAAAAACTGCAATCAGCTTTTATACAAATGACTGTATACCATTCAGCATTTCACCTATGAAGACTTACAGGACACTTTTTGCAATATAGCTGCAATGATATGAAGTAATTAAATACTTAGTTCTGATCCTTAAGTAACTTCAGAAAGTTCAGAAAAAGTTTCCCGTTCGGTAGTTCCACTTCCCAAACAATGTAAAAAATGTAAGATGTAGTTTGAAAGATTCATGAACAAGTTGAGTAAGTTGGCAACAATAAGAAATTTCTCTAGTGTGCATTATTGTCTGTACCTCTCAACTATCCTTTAGTTACTTGTTCAAAAAATCTACTAATCATTTGAAAATAGAGCAAATTCAAACATTTTATACCATTAGTTCCCTCACAAGATGACTGAGGTTGCTCTCATGGAAATGCAATACAGGAAAAGTACTGATACACTTTTTTTCTTTTCAAGATACTCTCAGTTCGACCAAAAAAAACCTGAAGTATCAACATAATAGCAAAAGAAGTTCTATTCTTCCTATATAATTTTCAGATGTTTTTTACACCTATTTCTGCCTACATTCATGGTCAGACTAAAATTACTTGTGTTTCACACCTTCAAAAGCAGAACCCTATCACCAAAAATAATATATTGAGTTTTGACTGGGCTATTAAACAAATTAAGAGTGTGAGTACATAGTAAGGGAAAAGCAAATTAACTCGCATTCTATTGCACTGTGAAGTCCCATCATGGAATCTGGTTCACTTCAATTTAAGTGGCAATACCGGCAGAGGAGAAAAATCCCCTCTAATTGCAATTCCATTTTTAACACCTGTAGGTGGCGCAATTCAAAATAACAGCCTTAAGAGGAAATGAGTGATTGATTCCTTAATTTTTTTATCTTAACTTGCTGGGTTGTAAAAGTTTTAAAAGCTCATTAAGATGTAACTAACTAACTAAATAACTAACTAAACAGTTTTTTTTAAAAAAAGAAGTGTCTTGGGAGAGAGGCTTTGCAGAGACAGATGAGTGTTGGAGCTGCTTGTGTGTGCGTGCGTTCTCCTAGCCCTCCCTCAGGAGGCAAGGGAGAAGATATTTTATCAAAGCATCACTTTGTGTCTATGTGTGCATGTGCTTGTTGGTCTTTGCTTTTTCGCATTGGTTCAAAGCAATACACGCTTTGAACTAAGGCAAAAGGATTCAACTTGTAAAAAGTAGAAGGGCCTATGGTAGGGAGGAAAAACTATTGATTTGCATTTACCAAGCATCATGTGATCAATAGGACAAAATGTGAATCACCCCACCCCAAACCCACAGTACTTCCTGCATTTTTGTTGTGTAGCCAGTCAAAGAAAGTAAAAAGGAACTAGGAATAAAAGATGCAGATGTCCAACTCTAAAATATTGCAGCACACTTGGGGATGAAATAGAAACTTCACTACAGTCCTCTTCCAACCACCTGGGTGCCAGTCACCAGTCAGTGATAGAGATTAGGCTACTCTCATAATCTTTGTAAACACACTTTCAATATCCTGTAGCTGGTAATAAGTATACTTACAACTGCAAATTCATCTCCATCCAACATTCCATCATGGTCAATATCACTAAGCTCCCAAACCTAACCAAAACACAAACATATTCAGGACAACAGCACATTTCCTCTTTCCTATATCACACTGAAAAATATAAACGCTTTTAGTCATCTTGACATATCTGATTAATTACTTTGTCCAGTCATGCCATTTGGCCTAAAAAAGAACAGATTTGCTATTCAAATGTTGCCTTTAACTAATTCTCAAGATGAGTAATTGACTGTCATTTTAGAAAACTGAGAGCATTTAAATGTGCTTACTTTATTGAATGGGATTTAGTGACAACTCAAATTATATCAGAAGAACCTTACCTATCATATTAGGGATTTGCCATCCATTTTAGGGCAAAACTGCATGTTATGTGAGGTTTCATTAAGATTTCCCTTGAGGTGGATGGGCTTTTTTTTTAATGAAAGCCATCCAATTAAGATTGCAACCCAAAGGAAAGAGAAGACAGCAGTGTAGGAAATGCTTAGGTCTTTCCCTTGCTCAGTAATATCCTCTTCAAGTCCGCCCCACATTCCTTCCCTACCTGCTTCTCCTCTGTTCTGGACTGTAACATTAAAAGAGTTGCTTTTCATTCAAAAAGGGCAAAGGGGAAACTTAAACAGATCTTTGTAGAACATAAACCACATTCAACAAAGACCAATTCTGGACTGAGAAGACATACTTCTCTTCTAGAGATTTCAGTCCTTGAAGCCCTATATATTTTCAGCCTGTGATGTCAGATATGTTGGACAGAGTGCTTGACCACTGTCAGGCCACCACCTCCTTCCTCCCTTGACCCTTATCAAAGCAGCCAGGCCTATAACTTCTGAATGGGCTATGGCAATAAGTAATGGGTCTCTCCAAGGAGATACTCATTAGGCCCATTAGGAAGAAACTGAGCTTGGCAATATGGGTAATTATAGGCCTGCCACCAATGTTTCTTTCCTCAGCAAAGTAGTCGAGAATGTGGTGGCCGATCAGCTGCAGGCTCTTCTGGATGAAACCAATGCCCTGGATCCATTCCAGTAGGGCTTCAGGCCGCGCCACGGCACAGAAACAGCATTGGTCGCCCTGTTTGATGACCTATTGAGGGAGGCTGCCAGGGGTAAATGTCTATGCTGGTCCTCCTCGATATCTTAGCCGCCTTTGATACCATCAACCACGGTATTCTCCTGGGGAGGCTCTCCAAGTTGGGAATCGGTGGCCTTGCTCTTGCCTGGCTCTGTTCCTTCTTGGAGGACCGTCCCCAAAGAGTGTGCAGATTGGAGAGTTTCTCAGCCCCATGGAGTCTCAATTGTGGGGTTACGCAGGGCTCGATTATCTCTGCAATGCTGTTTAACATCTATATGAGGCCACTGGGAGAGGTCATCAGGGAATGTGGGGCTTTATGTCATCAGTACGCTGATGATACTCAGCTCTACATTTCCTTTTTTCCAACAACAGTGGATGCTGTTTCATCCCTTGAGCACTGCCTGGGGGCTGTTCAGCAATGGATGCAGGTGAATGGATTGAGGCTGAATCTGGGCAAGACGGAGGTCCTTTGGGTGGTCTGGCAAACTCCCTTTCCTTTGGGGTTGTGTGACTCTTACCACCAAGAGTGACAATGGAATCTCAGATAACATCTGTGGTCCGCTTCACCGATTTCCAGCTCCATCCCTACCTTGATACTGGGTCCTTCACCACTTTGGTCCATGCGCTTGCAGTCTCATGATTAGACTACTGTAATGCGCTCTACATGGAGCTGCCTTTGAGACTGACAAAGAAACTCCAGATGGAACAAAATGCTGCGGCCAGACTTCTTACTGGGGTGAAAAGGTACCGGCATATTTCCCCCACACTGGCCGCCTTGCATTGGCTGCCCATCCATTTCCACATTGATTTCAAAGTTCTTATGATTCCATATAAAGCATTAACGGTTTAGGACCTCGATATCTGGCAGAGCGCCTTCTCCCACCCAGTTCTGCCAGAGTCACTTGTTCCAGCCAGGCTGGGCGGCTGAGGGGCCTAATGCCGATGGAGGTCCACAAGAAAAGAACAAAGAGTAGGGCCATCCAAGCAGTGGCCCCTCACCTTTGGAATAACTTGCCAGTGGAGATCTGCCTGGCTCCCTCTCTGGTTGTTTTCAGGAATAAACTTAAAACCTGGCTATTTGGGCAGGCATTCCCTCCTGCCATATCTTAACTGCCATATCTGAATTACTTATACTTCGCCATCTTGGACTTATAATATATGTTTTTGGTTTTATTATTTTTAAATTTTAAAACCGCCCAGAGTAGACCCTTGGTCTAGATGGGCAGGACAGAAATCAAATAAATAAATAAAAATAAATATATAGAAATCAACACAAAACTGAAATCTTGAGTGACTTAGTGAAATTTGTGGTCTCTTTGCTGGGCACAACTCTTGTTACAAAGCACCAACCTACAGAATGTCACATGACAAACACACATATACCATGCACTCAAGTCTTACCCTTCCCAAGATATCAACTGGCAGTTTAGAGTTGAGCAGAACAGGTTTCACTTTATCACCTGACAGCAAGCCATTCACTGGGTTAAGGCTTTCAAAGATAGCGTCATACTTGGCCTTGTCTTCTATCTGGTTGCAGAAATAATAAATAAGGGAAAGTACTAAATTATGAACATGAATAAAGTCCCAAAAAAGAGTCAGACAAGAGTATTTCATTACATAAAGAGCGCTGTGAATAAAAGAGTGCTGCACAAGAAAAATCCATGTGACAGTTACTACAGCAAGAGGCAGACTGGGGGCCTTAAATATTCTAAAAAGCAATTGTCCAAGGAGTACAGACCAGGGAGAAGAAAGGTGATGTTGTCTGAGACAGGAAGGAACTTTCAAAAGCCTACAGTCAATAGATCTGGAAGAGCAAAGGTTGAAAGTATGGAAATACTGGAAATACTGAAGTACCACACAGAGTGACAAATAAGGTGAATGACTTTTTCAGTAAAGCACTGACTAAACCCAAAGAAGATAAAGTTTAACAAAAGAACGGGTTGGTATAGTTAAAATGGTAAATGAGTGCACATAATCCATTTTTGCAAAGAGGAAGGACTAATTTTGTTAATAATGTTGAGCAGCAACTAATGCCACTTCGCGAATGTGTGGAAAGCAAGAATTAGTGTTCATGCTTCCACAAACATAAGTAAGACAAAATCACACACATATTTCTAACACTCCACAGACAATTCCAAGAGCTGCCTGAAACAAGGAAGTCACCCTAGTGCAGCAGTGGCGAACCTTTTTGAGCTTGCGTGCCCAAACTGGGGGGGGGGGGGGGGGAACGGGGGGGGTTG